CTGGCTACTGACTCAGTCTCTGGCTTCTAATTCAGTTAAAGCTCAAAGACTCTGGCGGACCTGACTTCTGTGAGCTGTGAAGTCAGCAGTGACGTCAGCAACACGGAACAATAAATTAAGTGGAAGCTGCAGGTGCTGCAAACATCAGGGAGGATGGTGCCAAGATCTGCCCATTAGCGCACACTGAGAGGTTAAGGTGCTGTGTTACGCCGTGATGTGCAGGAATACAATAATGTCCTCAGCTTCCACCAGGAACCAGCCTGTGAACATACAAATATCTAATGAACATAACATCTTGACATAAGTCTTAAAAAGAAACCATTTTGCTGGCATTACTCCACAGCAGAGAGGCACTTTTGATGATCCTCTGCAAATAAACCCATTCTTAATGGATTTGCGTGATTTTCATTGCTCCAGTTTCACAGTGCCACCTTATAGCTATGGTTTTGCTTGCTGTCTCCTTCCTCTCCCCACGCCAGAGAAGCCAGGGAAGATTCAGACCTCTGCTAATAGAGGACCAGCCAAGAAAAGGTCTTTGCCCAGCAAATCCAGCTGGCTCATGGCTGGTGACTGCCGGCAGAAATTTTCAGGTGGCACGGTGGTGGTTTGCTATGTGAGCAGGGAGGCACACTCTAGGAATGACAAACAACTGGCTGGTGAGTGAATGTCATTCTTGGGAGGGGCAGCCAAAGAGGCTGGAAATAGGCACTAGAAATAGGCCTAGAAACAGGCACTCAAGGCAAAACAATGGCATCAAGTAGGAAACGGGTAAACCTCACTATCTGATCTGATTAGGTATTTCAAAGCAAAAGCAAAGGTCCTGCTTTAAACAAAGGAGCCAGCCTGGGTTTGATCAGCAAGTCATTGCAGACAGTCATTAGCGCTATATTGGCTAGATGCTTCAGGTTCCACTGCAAACCTTATGGGCCTGAAACGCAAATATTTGCAGTGCATCTAATGGCACAAAAATGCAAATCAAGTTGTCTCCCCAAAAGAAGGCAAGCTTCAGCAAATGTGATCCATGGTCTTCCTCTTTTCCATGCACCCACTATTAAGGGCAGTAGAAGAGGTCTTAGGAGGATATATGGAGCTCAGAGCAAGGGGGACCAGAGAACATGGGGCAGAGGAGGACAACTGAAAAGACAGAGAAAGCCTTAGGACAAAAGTGGGGAGGAGGCAAGAGAAAGAAAACAAAAGATGGGACAAGGAAAACACAGCACATGAGAGAATGAACTGACAATGTGAAGAGCAGGTGAGCTAAATAGGATAAAAATACTGTTTTGGTAGTTTTCATTTGTTCAGTGTAAGCCTTCCTTTACAGATAACCTGGGGCAAATGGCTGGTTTGCCACAGAACTCATAAAACTGCAATAGTTGTCCCCAGTTTTGTTTTGTTTTGTTTGTTTAGTGAAAGCCTGACAACCGCATTAACATTCTTTTGGTCAAAATATGTTTGTGCTAGTGTCTTAACCATTCATATACAACAGAACAAAGATATGGCCTGAACACCTCTTCTTCGAACTCTTTTACGGAAGCAAGCATGGAGGAAAGTTCATTGCCTTGTGAAGGAATTGGTCTGACCATGGTTTGCAACGTGCAAGCTTCAGATCTTCTGATATTTTTTTTTCTTGCAAATATATCCAGGCCCAAGCATAGCTACCATCAGTAGTGCAGTTGCGGGGAAAAAAAACCCTACAAAGCAGAAAGCATGATCGACAAATCATTTGCGTTGTTCTACAGGCAGGCCTTGAAACTTGCCAAGTTCAGTAAACTTTTGGGTACACATTAATGAACAAGCTCTGCCAGGGGTCAGAAGGTAATTTGCTTCTTGTATCAGGTGGGCCTCATGACATTTTCCTTTCCATAAAATACATAAAAGATCCTGTCACAAGCGCAAACCTCAGTGCTCAGTTCTCAAAGCACGGCTGGGAAGGAAGGAGGCAGTGATCAGCTGGGAAACTTGCACCAGTTTCACAGGGCTTGTGTCACACAGAATCGTGGACCAGCTGAGGCTGGAAGGGACTTCTGGACACCACCGAGTCCAACCCCCCTTTCTCAAAGCACAGTCAACTTGCTCAGGGCTGTGTCCAGTTGGGTGTTGAATATCTCCATGGACGGAGACTTTACAGCCTGACTGAGTGCCTTTTCCAGTGTTTGGCCACATTCACAATGAAAATGATTTTATGTACATTTAAATTAAATTTCCTGTATTTCAATTTGTGCTCATTGCTCCTTGTCCTGTCACTGGGTACCACCGAAAAGACCCTGTCTCCATCTGCTTTACTTTCCCCCATCAGATACTTATACACATCAATAAGATGCCCCTGAGCCTCCTTTCCTCCAGGCTAATCCGTTGCAGCTCTCTCAGCCACTTCTTGTATGAAAGATGCTCCAAGCCCTTAATCATTTTCATAGCCTTTTGCTGGACCTGCTTCGGTATGTCCATGTCTGCCTTGCACCAGTGAGTCCAGAACTGGACCCAGCACTCCAGTTGTGTCTCACCATATAGCAGAGGGGAAGGATCACCTCCCTCGACCTGTGTAATGCAGCTCAAGGTGCCATTTACCTTCTTTGCTGCCAGGGCATGCTGTTGCCTCATGGGCAACTTCTTGTGACACCCCGGGATGCCCAAGGCCTTTTTTGCAAAGCTGCTCTCCAGCCGAACAGTCCCAGGCACCTCTGTAGGACTGTCTTCTCACTGGCTACTGACTCAGTCTCTGGCTTCTAATTCAGTTAAAGCTCAAAGACTCTGGCGGACCTGACTTCTGTGAGCTGTGAAGTCAGCAGTGACGTCAGCAACACGGAACAATAAATTAAGTGGAAGCTGCAGGTGCTGCAAACATCAGGGAGGATGGTGCCAAGATCTGCCCATTAGCGCACACTGAGAGGTTAAGGTGCTGTGTTACGCCGTGATGTGCAGGAATACAATAATGTCCTCAGCTTCCACCAGGAACCAGCCTGTGAACATACAAATATCTAATGAACATAACATCTTGACATAAGTCTTAAAAAGAAACCATTTTGCTGGCATTACTCCACAGCAGAGAGGCACTTTTGATGATCCTCTGCAAATAAACCCATTCTTAATGGATTTGCGTGATTTTCATTGCTCCAGTTTCACAGTGCCACCTTATAGCTATGGTTTTGCTTGCTGTCTCCTTCCTCTCCCCACGCCAGAGAAGCCAGGGAAGATTCAGACCTCTGCTAATAGAGGACCAGCCAAGAAAAGGTCTTTGCCCAGCAAATCCAGCTGGCTCATGGCTGGTGACTGCCGGCAGAAATTTTCAGGTGGCACGGTGGTGGTTTGCTATGTGAGCAGGGAGGCACACTCTAGGAATGACAAACAACTGGCTGGTGAGTGAATGTCATTCTTGGGAGGGGCAGCCAAAGAGGCTGGAAATAGGCACTAGAAATAGGCCTAGAAACAGGCACTCAAGGCAAAACAATGGCATCAAGTAGGAAACGGGTAAACCTCACTATCTGATCTGATTAGGTATTTCAAAGCAAAAGCAAAGGTCCTGCTTTAAACAAAGGAGCCAGCCTGGGTTTGATCAGCAAGTCATTGCAGACAGTCATTAGCGCTATATTGGCTAGATGCTTCAGGTTCCACTGCAAACCTTATGGGCCTGAAACGCAAATATTTGCAGTGCATCTAATGGCACAAAAATGCAAATCAAGTTGTCTCCCCAAAAGAAGGCAAGCTTCAGCAAATGTGATCCATGGTCTTCCTCTTTTCCATGCACCCACTATTAAGGGCAGTAGAAGAGGTCTTAGGAGGATATATGGAGCTCAGAGCAAGGGGGACCAGAGAACATGGGGCAGAGGAGGACAACTGAAAAGACAGAGAAAGCCTTAGGACAAAAGTGGGGAGGAGGCAAGAGAAAGAAAACAAAAGATGGGACAAGGAAAACACAGCACATGAGAGAATGAACTGACAATGTGAAGAGCAGGTGAGCTAAATAGGATAAAAATACTGTTTTGGTAGTTTTCATTTGTTCAGTGTAAGCCTTCCTTTACAGATAACCTGGGGCAAATGGCTGGTTTGCCACAGAACTCATAAAACTGCAATAGTTGTCCCCAGTTTTGTTTTGTTTTGTTTGTTTAGTGAAAGCCTGACAACCGCATTAACATTCTTTTGGTCAAAATATGTTTGTGCTAGTGTCTTAACCATTCATATACAACAGAACAAAGATATGGCCTGAACACCTCTTCTTCGAACTCTTTTACGGAAGCAAGCATGGAGGAAAGTTCATTGCCTTGTGAAGGAATTGGTCTGACCATGGTTTGCAACGTGCAAGCTTCAGATCTTCTGATATTTTTTTTTCTTGCAAATATATCCAGGCCTAAGCATAGCTACCATCAGTAGTGCAGTTGCGGGGAAAAAAAACCCTACAAAGCAGAAAGCATGATCGACAAATCATTTGCGTTGTTCTACAGGCAGGCCTTGAAACTTGCCAAGTTCAGTAAACTTTTGGGTACACATTAATGAACAAGCTCTGCCAGGGGTCAGAAGGTAATTTGCTTCTTGTATCAGGTGGGCCTCATGACATTTTCCTTTCCATAAAATACATAAAAGATCCTGTCACAAGCGCAAACCTCAGTGCTCAGTTCTCAAAGCACGGCTGGGAAGGAAGGAGGCAGTGATCAGCTGGGAAACTTGCACCAGTTTCACAGGGCTTGTGTCACACAGAATCGTGGACCAGATGAGGATGGGAGGGGGTTCACCGAGTCCAACCCCCCTTTCTCAAAGCACAGTCAACTTGCTCAGGGCTGTGTCCAGTTGGGTGTTGAATATCTCCATGGACGGAGACTTTACAGCCTGACTGAGTGCCTTTTCCAGTGTTTGGCCACATTCACAATGAAAATGATTTTATGTACATTTAAATTAAATTTCCTGTATTTCAATTTGTGCTCATTGCTCCTTGTCCTGTCACTGGGTACCACCGAAAAGACCCTGTCTCCATCTGCTTTACTTTCCCCCATCAGATACTTATACACATCAATAAGATGCCCCTGAGCCTCCTTTCCTCCAGGCTAATCCGTTGCAGCTCTCTCAGCCACTTCTTGTATGAAAGATGCTCCAAGCCCTTAATCATTTTCATAGCCTTTTGCTGGACCTGCTTCGGTATGTCCATGTCTGCCTTGCACCAGTGAGTCCAGAACTGGACCCAGCACTCCAGTTGTGTCTCACCATATAGCAGAGGGGAAGGATCACCTCCCTCGACCTGTGTAATGCAGCTCAAGGTGCCATTTACCTTCTTTGCTGCCAGGGCATGCTGTTGCCTCATGGGCAACTTCTTGTTGACACCCCGGGATGCCCAAGGCCTTTTTTGCAAAGCTGCTCTCCAGCCGAACAGTCCCAGGCACCTCTGCAGCCCCAGACTGGGAGAGCTGCACCCTCCCTCAGGAGCTGGGACTGCGTCCAGTGCAGTGCTGGAGTGGCTGCTCCATGCGGTGCTGGGGATGGTGCCCTGTAGCATCTCACCTCCATCGCTCAGCACGTGCACGCTGTGCTCCACAGAGTTTCTGGAGAGTCCAGATGCCTTCCTTTGACATCTGTATTGGCCTTATGTGGTAAGGTTGTGGTGGTGGCAGGGCTGCAGGGCTGGCTTCTGTGGGAAGACACCAGGAGCTGCCCTCACGTTGGGCTGAGCCAGCTCCATCCAGCCTCAAGATGGAACCACCACTGGTCAAAGCGAGCCCATCAGCAATGGTGGTAGTGCCTCTGTGATAACATATTTCAGAAATGGTAAAAACACTGTGCAGCAGCAGCTGAGAGAGGAAAGTGAGAAAATGTGAGAGAAACAGCCCTGCAGACACCCAGTTCAGAGCAGAAGGAGGGGGAGGAGGCGCTCCAAGCACCAGAACAGAGATTCCCCTGCAGCCCCTGAAGACCATGGTGAAGCAGACTGTCGCCCTGCAGCCCATGGAGGACCATGGAGAAGCCAATATCCACTCTGCAGCCCATGGAGGGCCATGGTGGAGCAGATGCCTACACTGCAGCCCCTGGAGGACCTCACACTGTGGCGGTGGACATGCACTGAAGGACGCTGCAGCCCATGAAGAGGAGCCCAGGCAGGATCAGGTTTCCTGGCAGGACTTGTGGCCCCGTGGGAGACCCACGCTGGAGTAGTCTGTCCGGGAAGGATGGCACCCCACAGAAAGGACCCATGCTAGAGCAGTTCATGAAGAACTGCAGCCCATGGGAAGAACTCACGTTGGAGAAGTTCATGCACAACTGTCCCCCATGGGAGGGACCCCACGCTGGAGCAGGGGGAAGAGCTTGAAGAGGAAGGAGCAGGGGAGAAGCTACAAAAGATGATTAGGGGACTGGAGCATCTCTCTTCTGAGGAAAGGCTGAGGGACTTGGGTCTTTTTAGTCTAGAGAAAAGAAGACTAATGGGGGATCTTATCAATGCTTATAAATACTTAAAGGGGGAGTGCCAGGGGGATGGGAACAGTCTTTTTTCAGTGGTGCCCAGTGATAGGACAAGAGGTAATGGGCACAAACTTGAACATAGGAAGTTCCATCTCAACATGAGGAGGGACTTCTTTACTGTGAGGGTGGCAGAGCACTGGCACAGGCTGCCCAGAGAGGTGGTGGAGTCTCCCACTCTGGAGACATTCAAAACCTGCCTGGACACCGCCCTGTGCAACCTGCTGTAGGTGACCCTGCTGCGGCAGAGGGGTTGGACTAGATGACCTCCAGAGGTCCCTTCCAACCCTGAGCATTCTATGTTTCTGTGTTTCTGTGAAGAGGCACGATGGACTGACCACAACCCCCATTCCCCATCCCCCAGGGGAGTCCGAAGTGATGCTGAGCCTGGGCAGAAAGGGAGGAGGTGGTTTGGTTTTGTTTTATTTTCAACTTTCCTACTCTGTTTATTCATGGTCAATAACTTAAATTAATCTCCCCAAGCCGACACCGTTTCGCCCGTGTCGGTAACCGGTGATTGAAGACCTTTACTCCCGCGGAACCGCAGGGGCCGGGATGCGCTGCGGCCCCCGCATCCCACCAGCCCCCCC